GGCTGTTATAAACCACTACCCTCCCTTCCTCTAACAAGCAGACAATAGTTTGGTTCAAACTGGAGACTTAAGCAGCTGCTTTCGTTGTATCCAGAGGTACCATAACCCGTCGTCATGAACAAACCTTGTTGAGCGAAAACGTAAACCTTCCTTTGTCAGTATTCCGAAATTTCAAAGGAAACTAATGTGGCAACTCCTGGACCACTGACCCGGTGCTCTTATAAAATATATTTTTAAAACAAAAAAGTGTTTTCTTCTTATGTTGCCTTCAAGTGTTTTTGAGATATTTTTCGGATGGATAAAAAAAACGAATGCCTCGTTATATGCTAGAAAGGACAAATTTGGATTGGAAACTTAAGCGAGACCAAGCTAAAACAGCAACGCAGCCGCGTGCACGTTGAAAGAAAAACCAACCAAATTAAAACAACTTAATGGTGGGCAGGGTGTCAGCGCCCTCTATCCGCCGATTATGGAAGTACTGAGATGAAAAGTTATTCTACTTATGGAAAACACAGTTTTGAAACGAAAATCTAGACGGCGCTTCAAACTACAGAAGACTACGGAAGACGGCCGGAAGGGGATAAAGGAAGTATTTCGTCCCTCCATCTCCCGTGGAACTCCCGCGGAGGGGCACGACGGTGACACAACGCCGTACACTGTTAGCAAGTCCCGTGTATTTGGTGAATATTTGGGGTGAAAAACACGCTATTTACACAAATTACCATAAATTTACACGATGAGTAACGGATAATTCGTTCAGAAATCATGCGAGGTTGTAAAAAACGTGTTTTCGTTCGGTCATACACGCATAACCGTGTAGCCGACCTCAATAACACGCATCGCCCCCGACGACGACCGCGACATTGCCGGCTATCGAAGCACCGGAATGCTTGGGGACACACTTAGAAAGGACCGTCGAGACAAATGCCGCGGAAAGAAACATGTCTCGGAGACAGATATGCACCAAAAGCAATTGCGCCATGCCGCAGGACGTTGGCGAAACCCGCGCTTACCGTGCTCGCCGCCATTTTCTGGTCGATGGCAATGCGGCTTCCCTCATGTCGCCCATGTTTGCATTTAGTTTAGGGGTCTTGATAATAGTTTCTTACACACCACAAATAAAGTCATTGGTCTAATTATTCGTTCCAAACAGTTAAAATGGATATAAAAAGCGTGTCCTCGATGTGAACACGTGACATTGCAGTTGGTTTCGTTTTTGCTTCAACCTTCAACTGCTTCAACTGCAAGCGATCTGGCCACGGCGCAAACGCAGCGCCGATGTACGGTGGAAGCAAGAGCCGGTTGGCTTTCGTTCTTTTTGTTTGACCGGAGAAAATCTACGCATGGCGCCGCTATTGTTTTGGTTTGACGGGACGCGAGAAGCTTCGCATAGAGCTTCGCAGTTTGCGAGGACATAGTGAAGACGTGGCCGTAGAAGTGCCCCTGTGTTGTTCCCGGAAGACGGAAAGTACCATTCGTCGTGTGTGCTTTGAAAGCGAAGGGAGTCACAGGGTCCACGAGTGCGCAACCACCAGCCAAGGTTCACGACAGCGCTGCATTGACTTCGGCGGTCTCGTTCTGTTTGGGGCAACACGGCGATGCGAGAAAGAGCCGAAACGTTCGTGGTGTGTGGTGCGGTGCTTGGAGGTAGAAACTCGCACTAACACGGAGCTGAGATTGGTTATTGTGGGGTTGCGTTTGACGGGTTCTGCCCTGTCGTCGTCAGCTGATCTGGTCCAGCTGGTCCGGGAGGACGCAGCGAGCGTTTTTAAAAGTAAATCTTCCTTCGTTCTGTTTTAAAATGTGGAAGATTCCCGACGCATACCGTGAGTAAAATGCTGCGGGCGTTTTCAACAAAATTACGTCGTTTTAATTGAACAATGAACTTCGGATAGTTGTCCTAAATCTGCCGTTTTTATGCTTCGTGTCGTTGGACTGCATTTGCACAGCGATGTGTTTGCACAGCGACGCACACCGCTCGAGTAGATGATTCGGTCCCGCAAACGACCGGTTATACAGAATTTCACGGAAACTTAAGTCACCACCGATGTTTTCCTGTAAATCTCGTGTGAGTTTGTTGCGCTGATCATCCGGTGTGAATAAATTAGGGCAAGATTTTCTACCTGCCCACAGATGCATGAACTGAGACCAATTTTTTACTTAGTGAACATAGTGCTTTTTCTTTACTTTGGGAAGAGGCCCGAATTTGTCTCTTTTCCCTCTGGCACTGCCCCAAGTTTCAAGTTGCAGTTTCAGTAGACATACCTACTAACGCGTACAAACTGCTCTAAGCAGGTAAAAGACTGGGAAGTCAGGACGGTGCGGACACCGTGTTTTGCACTTTTCGCAAGGTGACTGATGCGTTTGCAAGGTATGCGGAATATGCAAACGCTTTTGTTATGCCCGTCGTTTGCGTCTCCGGAAAAACTAATAAGGTTATCTACAAATTTAGGCACTATCACAAGCCAAGATTTACGATAACAGTGCGTTCGCTTCGGTGGTCCGCATAGTGGTATTATACCCTGCTTTCTGCAACACCGTGTCATGACGAAGAGCTGGAACGGTCACGGTCTGTGCTGGGCTACCGGTTGACAGAAACCCGCATCGCCCGCATCGGCACCGAGTGCACTTGGGCTGTTGATGTTCAAGCCTCTCATCCGCGGCTTGTCGCCGGCTGATCCTGCTGCTCGACGGTGAGGAAGCAGCAAGAGTGACCTCTGAAGTAAATGTAAATCCTCGTTCATCCGGTTATCCGGTGTCAAAGTGTGGAAGATGCCCAACGTGTACTGAGGGCGGGAACTACGAGCGTTTTGCCTTGCTTTCATAACCAAAACCAGAGCAGCGAGATAATTGCCTTGCGTACTCCAAAATGACGGAAGCAATAAGTTTCAACAGGTCGAGTACGTCACCGCGCATGTAGGCGAGACGGAGCACACTGTTTAAACGCTTGCAGTATCCACGAGTGGTACCAGAAAAACGACGTCAACAGAGAAGGAGCTCGCGATTCAGCATAATGCAGTGCTACGGGCCCGTGAATTTTCAATGTCGCTGTAAAGAAATATTTAAAAAAAAAACGCATCAGCGCCACATTAGTGATCACGAATAACACGGGTCACAAACTCCCAAGCCTCGCCGCTCCACTCGACACCAACACGACATACGACAACAATCTGCATCAAAACGCCCCAAAAGTGAACGCGTCTGCTCCCGTACGCGTACTACAACTAGCGGAAGTGAAGTGTTGGGCGGATGTCCTTCACAATAATATATATAAAAAATGCTTTGCGCAAGTATAATTTCCATTGATTATTCAATACGTACTGATAAAGTCCCAATCATTTGTTTTTCTATCTGATTCAAGCTAGTCGGACTGCTCATAACACTGGTCGAGCATGAAAATAACAAAAAATTTGAACTTTTTCATGGCCGGTTTAAGATTTATTGTTAGTACATCGTTGTTTTTCACAACGGACTAATTTTACAGATTTTGCCTCTATACTTTTTAAATGCAAACAGTTCTTACATACGGCTGTCCATTGTGCCGTGTTTTGTGTCTTCTATAAATCTGTAACGGTCAGCGACCAAAGAGCTCACCCGTACATGTCAAGCATATATACGCCGCGGGGAGAGTACGATGTTAGTAGGAAGTGTCGGGGCGTAGTGTCGCTGTTGTGTTTGTGTATGTGTCGCTGCTGTGTCCTACCTGGTGCTCGTGTTGTCTGTGAGGTATGGAGAGTTGTAGTCTACTCGTGACAGTTCGAAGCGTATTAACACTCCTGCTTTTTTTCATTTGTTGCTAGAAATCTCACTAGGTGGCGCAAGTTAACGCCTGATTCCAAGTAGTTTGCTTGAGTTATTTATCCATGTAAGTTTGGTATTAGTTTTTTTTTTTTTTTTTTTTCTAGCGGTTTTGTCGTAGCTGCCGACGCCACCGACCGCCCACGACGCACGTACGTGCCTTTGCACGTAGCTACGTTCGCCGCTTGGGGACTGTTTACTGTGCATAAAAGACATCGAACGAGAACGAACGCGTCCTGTGTGCTTTCAGTTCGGCTGAAAGGCGCGGCTCGCTGGGCTCGTCTCTCGCCTGTTCTCGGCTGCTGGCCGCCATGTTTCATAAGGAACACGTTGAACCGTGCTTCTCGGAAGGCAAACACGGTGTAGCGTGTCAAGTTTACACGGCACCTCATGTGTAGACGAAAAACACAGATGGCTCAATGTAAAACGAACACGTTTCAACGTGTCCGCTATGGGACAACGGTTTACACGTCTGGGCGTGTTATTTTTGCTAACAGTGTACAAGCTCATATTGACCGACGTTTTGCCCTTTCTTCAATGCCAGCATCATTTGCGGAGGAAGGCCTATAGACCCCCCTTCCCACTCCGGGGATGATGATGACTCGCTACCACAGTTACAATGCAGCTTTGGTGGTTAGTCACGACAAGGCGATCTGACGACGTCAGATTATTTAATGGTCATGTGGTCGCACGCTCTCTGTGGTTTTTCTTCTTTTACATTTTTTAAGTATAACAGATATCATACTGAAATAGCAGCGATGGCGCATTCTACACACCGGCCACAAATTTGTAATAAAATTTGCCAGTCAAAGCGAGTATTTCCAAAAGTAATAATTTTTAAGTAATTAACTTCTTAATTATCACTTTCCAATTCCCACATGACGTACTCCCCGGATCCTCATCTCGAGTAATAAATTCTTAATTTTAATTTCTCTTTCAAGCATATACAGTCAGTCGTTCGTAAAACTTCCTGTATATCTAGAAATTTCGAAGTGCGACTCCTGGTCGCCGCCATCTTGCTGCTGATATGGGTAGATCATCTGATAGCCAAGCCCTTCTGGGGCGTACCCACGGTTTTCAGCCCAGCGCCCAAGCAAAGCGTTTTCATCCATGCCAGACCAGCTTTTGAAGAACGGCTGCTTGCAAACATCTGTAGCACTAGAAATTATCTCTGAATAAACTGCTCTACTTCAATATTGCAGATCCCGTGAATCCTGATCCCCATGACAATGTCTGCAACACGCCTGAGTGTCGAGAAATGGGTAAGAGCGGACTTGTTTCGTGCCGCGGGATAATTCCTCCAGATTTATATTACCTGAAATGTATTTTATACTTTTACAGGCATAATGCTTAGCCAAGCAATTGACAGTAATAGAAATCCATGTGATGATTTTTATGATTACGTGTGCAAAAATTGGAAGCAAAACAACACCATTCCGCCATATTTGCCTAGCTATGGACATATATGGTCTGTACGAGAGGAACTGTCCAAGAGACTTAAAGGTAATTTCGATATTTAACACTGCTGTATTTGTGTGACTAAAGTGGGAGAAGTTGCTACTATTATATTTAACTTATAGCTAGAATTGCTATAAATCTTAATAATAAACGTACAACTTATTGTTTGAAAGTTAAATGAAAACTCGTATGATGTCTTAGGTATTCTCACTATTGCTCTCAGCGTCTTAGATTTGACCCATGCTTCGACGGCGTTCGAATTTGTTTTGAGTATTTATTTTGTGATTTTGCGGTCGGCATCAAAGCATGCCTGCATGAAGCAAGTCCTGACGTGCCCCATTTTGCGACCCTTCCTGAAGGTGGCCTATGCAAAGCAGCAGACGGAAATTAGCTACTTCGTCCACCCTCTTTTGACCTCTTCTTCTGATAACCCACCACACCTTCTTTTGTGTCTTCGTGTGGCTGTTAACCAGTGCGAAGGCTGCTTCTAGCAAATCAGAGCGGTGGTGCGAAACACGTGACCGCTCTTCGTAGGGCAAAAACGCTTGGACGAAAATTTATCACGTGACTTGCTCTGACGCTCTGATGGGGTCACTGGGCCGTAGTCTTTGCCGTATTCCAAGTTATGGTGGGCTGTAGTGCCACACAGGTCCGGTTTGCGCCCGTCAGGCGTCAGTGTTCTCCTGTTTTTCGAGCGTTGCAGTCGCAGCGGTGATTTTTCGTCTTGAACGGCCGGAATACGTCCATACTAACTTTTTGGTAAATTTCGTCGGAGTCCATGGAATAACTCTGCTGTGTTGTTGGACGCGTTTTAACAAAAACCTGCTCATCGGCGGTCGCAAGACTTCCGCTGAATGTGATCGACCGCCTTCAACCTCGACATTGTGTTTGCGTTCTTCTGTGCTGCCCGAATCGGATTGCGCATCTATCACGATAGAGAGCCGCTCATCGGCGACCGGGAGACTTCCGTTGGATGTAAGCGGCCGTTTCATCACCGACGTTGTGTTTGTGAATCGTTCTGTGCTGCCCGAATCAGATTATGCATCTATCACGGATTGCGTGAGATCGCTATTTTATTTGTAAGCACTCTGGAAGTATCCTCCTGATAGTAGTACTGCTTCCGTATCAATAAACCATTTTACCGCTTACAAACATGAACTGCCGCTTATCTCCAAGCAAGTCCCGGTCGTTCCGCCTTTGCCAGCCTGTCGAGTTTGGCTTACGTCACCAGAGCTAGAAAGCGTTAAAGTAGGTTTAGGCGAAGGAAAGCCTTATCAAAAGTTTGAGTGCATTTATTTTAAGCCTTTAGGAATTTTGTAGCTTTGTCACTAAAACTCAACATTAGGTCACAAATGCTCGCGTTTGAGGTTTGGAATTGGTTTGTCGCGAATTCGCGACAGAAAAAAGTAAGACCCACACACGTTTTTTTTTTTTTTTTTCAGACTGAAAAAATAAAGTGGTGTATATGTTTCAACTCGTCACCAATCAATTCTCCGTTAATACTTTTTTATGAAGTGCTGCGGGGGTCTGTGCCCTATTCTGTGGATGGCGGAGTGCAGCCTGTGCGTTGACCCAGCAATAAGGCTGCGGGACGCCTTGTAGCAGGACACTAATTCTCAGTAACATCTATAGGCAGGATTGCCTCATCTTCATTTAGCTGTGCCTTTATTTCTCGCAAGTAGCGGGCTTGCTGGCTACTCATAGAGTGGCAACCTTTTATTTTCTTCAACGTATTCAAAAAAAATTCACCGAATTCCTCAGTAGTTAACAGAATTGTTTCAAACATCAACCCAGACCGCTCATCCACTGCTGAACTTGAACATGGTCGACCTGATTGGTGTTAAGGTCATAATGTTTCTGGGGCAAGGTTACAATGTATTCGCTACTGCGGCAGACGTCGCACTTGTCAAATATTACAATCCTCTTCATAAACGTGACCCACTGCAGTCGCTAATAATTCTTCAGTGTTCTGATTGAGTTTACTGGTGTGTAACACCAGCTTCAAGGTTTGGCGCTGCACGCATATGCGAACAATGTGCGTCCCACTTCCCAGGCTAAAACACAGCTTCGAGGGCGCGTGTGCTGGCAAAAGTGGAAGATCCACAGTTTAGGCTGTGGGTTTCTTTACGGAGGTCCACTACTATCAATCGCCGCCCGATCGGTATACCTTCCGCCCGTCACCCAGGGAATCACACATTGCAACGAGAAGACAGCGAATGGGTTAACTGTACCTCTCGGTTGCCCGTCGTCGAGAGCCGGTAGTCCAGGCCCGCCGACCTTTGTTGTCGCCCGTCGATCAGAGCTCACAGTCGGGGTCCGTGTCCAGGCCTGCGGATCGCCTTTCCCACGCCAGCGCTGCGTAGGCTGGCTGTCCCGGGTTATCAATGCCCGAGTCTCGCTGCGGAACCACCCCGGGATCGTCATAGCCCAGGTCATATGGCCCGGGCTCGCCGTTTCCACCGGTCTTGCTCCAGACCTCGCTGGTGGACCGCTCCGGGGTTCGTTATGGGCGAGGCTAGGCAGCCCCGGCTCCGTCGTTCTTTGTCCAGCTTCCAGCCTCGCTCAGCCCGCACTGTCCTGCGCCAGCTCGTGACTTCTCCGCCGGCCGCCTGTCACGTGCTCCCTGCCTCGTCTTTCACCCTCGGCTCCCACACTCTCCCCCCCTCAAGGCCCGGACTTCGGGGGACTTCATGGGCCTCAGGGAGCCGCTGGGCTTCATGGGCGGCCGCTGTTGCTGTTGCCGGAGTGGCCACGTTGCAGCGTACGAAAGCGGCGTAGTTGGTGGTGGCTAGCGAAGCCGGCAGACAATGCCGACCTGTCTGTCGCTCGCTGTCCCACTCACCGCGATGCAGCAGGGGGCTTGCTCTAAGCTGGTCCGGCCGACGCAGACGGACTTGCCCCGTTCCGCTTAGAGGTCACAGCGGGCTTAGAACTGCCCGCCTGAACCGTTCGTCAGGCCGAACAACTGTCAGCCACCCTGAGCACTTGGGAAAACGAATGGTCCCGTCTTCCCTCCCGGTGGGCTTCCTGGGTTACGCCGTCTGTATACGGCCGTCTTTCCAAGAAGCTATTCTGCGCAGAACAAACTGTAAGAGCAACACACAGCGAACAAATACTCTGCCGCAGATTGTGGCAGTGGCCATAGCCTCTACCGCCACATATATAGCTTGCCGACGGGTTCGTGTACCATGCGGCCAACTCAGCAAGTCTGCATTCCAGAGCTCGCTCGTGGGTCGCCAAGAACAGGGGATTTCTTGTGTCCTACCGCAACCTCATGTTATACGTCTTCCCCATCGCGACAACGGTCCTATCCTTTCAAGTCAGCGATGTGAACCGGGCAAGCCTCCTCGTTTGTATCTCGCCGAGTAAGCCTAGAAGTAAGACACGACGCTCGCGTCTTTATACCTCGGGTGCGCTTCTCACCTTGGAGCAAGCGATGCGGCAAAACCACTAGCTGCGTTGCTCCAAGCGTGAGCTTCCTTCAGAACAGGTAACGATGGCCTAAACCTAGTCCATCTTTTGCGCAAGCGAAGGGATCCAAAGCCTGTAACGGGATGACCAAATACCATACCCGCGCTCCAAAACGGCTACATATGCCATGTGGTACTCGATGTAAGCGTCAGCGTCCCGTTCCGTCCACGTGTATACGAGCTCTAGGGACTGCTCGGTCCTCGGAGGGGGCGTCAGCTCAGCGAGCAAGCCCGCTTGAATCGTTCACACCTCAAGGCAAGCTGGACAACTACAAGCCACCTAAATGTCTACCGCCTCATCCCCGGCCAGGTCGTGACGCGACATAACTTATCAAAAGTCTTGCTGTCACTGCCACGACCGGCCAGAGTGAAGCCGAAAAAGTATCCTGTAAAACATTTCGTAGCTTTCTCGGAACGACCCCCCTCAAGGGAGAGTCGTCCCTCTGCCCTTCGTCGGTTGTTGGAGTGACGCGAAACAACTAGCCGTCTTGGCCCAGTGGTTACAAATCATACTGCTCCTTAACTCGCCTGCCAGCGTTCCCGGTGTCAACTGCAATTCACGCCAGTTTACCCAACACCCGCTGACAATCTCGACCGCCAGTGTTCCCGGTGTCGACTGCAATTCCCGCAATCTTTCCGACACCCACTGACAAAACCCCATCTGCACCCCGGGCCTCAACAAGCGCTTGCTTGCCTACCGCATCACTCCAAGCCTAAATCCTAAATATGGAATAAGTCCTGGCTGTGTTCCCTCCTGCCAGTCGCTATCTTGCCCTCCAGCGAACATGCCGTGGCTCTCCTCTGCCTCCGAAGACGACTTTCTTACACCTTAACCGCGCTCCTCGTGTTCCCCCCGGTTGGGTCACCTTCTGCCAACCACTATTCTGGGGTACCCGAGAACGCGCGTCCGCAACCTCGTCCTTCAAGACCTTTAAGTACTCGATTCGAGGAGACACCTGCTGAGCTCTGCTTTGAGACAAGTCACCATAATTCCGAAAGACTTTGTCTCAACGGGCATCGTTAGCGTTAGTGAACAACCCGCTCAACGAATCCATGGGACTCCCTGGGGACGATTAGAAGCAGAGGCATACCGAACGGGCCCCACGTTGGATGCGCCATTTTAATGCGGGCTTCTTTACGGGGGAGGTCCCTCTATACTATCAATCGCCGCCCGATCGGTATGCGTTCCGCCCGTCACCCAGGGAGTGACATACAGCAACGAGGGACGGTGAATGGGTTTACTGTACCTCTCGGTTGCCCGTCGTCGAGAGCCGGTAGTCCAGGCCCGCCGACCTTTGTTGTCGCCCGTCGATCAGAGCTCACAGTCGGGGTCCGTGTCCAGGCCTGCGGATCGCCTTTCCCACGCCAGCGCTGCGTAGGCTGGCTGTCCCGGGCTATCAATGCCCGAGTCTCGCTGCGGAACCACCCCGGGATCGTCATAGCCCAGGTCATATGGCCCGGGCTCGCCGTTTCCACCGGTCTTGCTCCAGACCTCGCTGCTGGACCGCTCCGGGGTTCGTTATGGGCCAGGCTAGGCAGCCCCGGCTCCGTCGTTCTTTGTCCAGCTTCCAGCCT